TAGAATATAGATTCAAACATTTTTATTGGAGGTGTGAATTTTTACTTAATCAATAGACATTAAATTTTAACAAGAGTAAGCAAGGAGGTTGACTAATTGAGCATTCCAAAGTTAATTCTTTCCTCTGGTCTTTGTTCTGCTCACAATGTTGACCTTTCCCTGTGCTGTTGTTTTCATACCTTTTATTGTATAGAGTGCTTTAAAGGTTTTGGTGGTATCTACTTCTGTTTCTTTTCTCCAATCCAAACGTATCTTATGATTGTATTGAAAAAAATCTAAAATAATCTGATAAAAATTAAGTAAATTGGTTGCTATTAAATATAAAAAACTTTGTCTTATATTTGTATAAGATTTTATAGAGTAACATTTGTGTTTTCAATTTATTCTAACTAGTGAAATTATAAATTGGAAGCAGTGATAATATTTTTGGGGAGGAATTAAATTGGCAGGAGATATCAGGAATATTAAAGCAAATTTCATGTTGTTCAACTGCGTAATTCTAAAGCGACCACTTCATATGCAAAAACTAGATACAGAAAAAATAATTGGTAAAAAAATAAACTTCAAACAAACTCTTGATGAACTTTAGTCACACACAAAAAATAGGGGAACAACCTAAGTAATTTAGACATTTGAAGGCATTAAAACCTACGTGGGGAAAAATATTAATGGCATAGAAAAATATTGATACTATATCAACTTTCACATTGTAGAGAAATTGAATAGAAATGCCTTGGAAGAAAATGCAACCACATTCTGAAAGGGGTGGCTTATTGGTGTTCTTCTTTATCCTTTTAGGTACTTGTCACATTTATTTTGCAATATATATGTTACATCATCAGAGATAAATTTAAAATCTAATTCATGTCAAGGACATTGCTCATTTCAATATTTTATAACACTTCACGAGTTAAGCAACGCAGGGAGAATAATTTTCCATTTTATAGTTGAGAAGACTAGGTAATTTCCCAATTGGAGGAGCTTGAAATAAAATCAGATCCTCCAAAGCTAGCTTCAATGCTGCTTCTATGATCACACTACAATGATAGAAGAGATAATATATATGAACATTCTATGAGTTTTTCATGATAAAATACAATCATAATCAGAGACATTAATAATGTTACTTGATTTATTTGATCTTCATAAACTCCTAATTCTAATTAAGTGAAAAATTGAGATCAGGTGAATGCTAATAAAAAACTTATAAAATCAAGTAAAATAGGTCTGAAATAAAAACCAGTAACATCTATGTTTATTGCTATATTAGAATTATAAGAACAACTAAAACTCTTTTGTTTTACTTTAGAAATATACTCAACATGGTACCTGAAGTAAAAATGAAGGCAGTCATATTAATAATATTAGTGGTGATTGCATGTAAAGGAGTCCATAAGATGTGAAGGGTAAAAAAAAGTTAAATTTACTTAGAAATTACCAATAGGTTTTTAATTTAAAAAATCTATTTTAGTCAGTGTGAAATTAAAGTGGAAATAAATATCTTTATAATTATTTATTGAGATTCACCTACAGGGCATAATTAAGGACTAAATCAATCAATAAGACTTAAGCCAGGCTCATTTCTAGAGGTCCACATCACTTTAGTAGTACATATATTCCTGTACACCCACACTTGGACCACTTACACTAGACTCCTGCCCTCATCCAGCATACCTGCAGCCAGTGCCAGAGAGTGAGCAATTTTACAGGAGAGGTTGCCTTACCCATGTTTGTATGTGTGGAACTTGGCATAGTGCCTAACAGTTTGTATGCGTATGTTTTGTGTATGGAATCAAACTTATTTCAGTAGCCTAAACCAGATCACCTCCAATTTGTATGCATTATAAAAAATGCATAATTAATCCCCAAATTAATTAAATGATTTAGAGGATTATTTGCATTATCATGTATCTTTGCTACTACTTGCCTATTCCATTAGGTAATGTATATGCATAGTTATACAGGGGTGATATGCTTGATGAGTTTCAAACCCAGCCATTTCCTAGGCAGTAGCCTCTATGACCAGGGTCAAAACTTCAAAAGATTATAGCCAGATAAAGTTAATTACATAAAGTGGATTTGTTACAATAAATATATTTTCTCCCTTTTGTTGAGACACAGGTACAGAGAAATATTTCTTCAAGTCCAAGAATAATGACAAATGGCAAATGACCCTCAGCCTCCAAGTCAAGGACATAATTAGAAGGAGTTGTGGAGTTTGGGACAAGTATTAATTCCATTTCTACATGGGCAGTTTCTACTAAACTCCACTGATGGTGCCAGGTAAGAATCCCGGGCCACCGTAGTAAGATCTTCTAACTTATTAGTAGTGGGAAATCCAGATTTTTATTTAAAACATCTCATTTATAAAGCGTTGGTAATTTTTGAAAAGTAAAACACTTCTACAGAGCATATTTCACATAAAAGCTCCTAGTTTTATGACTTCAGTTTAAAAAAGTACTATTTGTTGCACACATAATTGAAATATTCTTGAAAAGTCATATAATTTGATTATTAAATGTCAAGGAAAGTTTCCTGATTAAAGAAAACTATATATTAAGAATTATGTATGTTATTCCATAGTTAGAAAAATAACAAGTATTTCACAAACTCCATTTATTATGAAAATGAAAATACCAAAGCCCAGAAGTTGGCAAGAGAAAAATAAGAATAACCATGTTAAACTTTACTTTAAATGTAGTATAACTGATTTAGGTCACAAGTTCAACTTCACTTTCAATGTAAGCAGATGCATGATTGTATTCTGAATGATGACTAGCCAATTATAGTGACTACAAAGTTCTGTCATAACTGACATTTTTAATGAAGCATTCCACTACAAAAATTAAAATTTCAGCTTCATTTTCATCACTTTAGCTATTTAGAATTCTGTTAATCAAGTAGGAAAAAAATTGTCTTCAACACCTAGAATGATTTATCTGTTTGTATGACTGTGAGAAAAATGATCACATCTTCAAGTAATAGATTATAAGTTGGAAGCAAGTTCACATTACAGTTGTGCTGATGAAAATTACCTGCAGGCTGTTACAACAGAGCCCATGAATTAATTAACCTTTTGCCATAAAAATCTAGAAACTTCAGCAAAGACTGAGGTTTCTCTGTTTCTCTTGCTTCAGCTTCCTCAGCATGTTAGGAAATAAAATGATGTGCAGTTACTGAAGCAGACAAAATATATGGAGAGTTTATCAGTTCTCATGTTACTGCAATACAACCACATAAATTATGGTTAAAATATAGCAAGTTAGATGATTCATCTTTTGTTTTATTTAATGAAAGGTAAGTAATAATGATTGATTTCTACATAGATGTTTATTTTATGAATGAGATCAGTAATTTCTTACTGTGAATATTGGCTACCTCTTATCTTCCTTTTGACTCTGTGAGAACATAAATAAAGCATGTCTTTTGCCAGTTTTTTTTTAATGAGTATAAACATGCTTTCTTATAAACAGCATTTTCAAAAGAATAAAAACATTAAGTATATTGGTCAAGCATTCTGATAGATTTCACTTGGAATCTAAAGTTTAAAAATCAGCTAACACTAAATGAAAGCAATTTGGGAAAATATGATTTCTAATAAATGATGGTAACATGAGCCACTATATTTTCTCAGGTTTTTAAAGGTAAGTATAAATAAGACTTGGTGAATTTGAAGATTATAAAAGACTTAAGACTACTAAGTTACATTTTAAATATTGACATGATAACTTACATGGCTTTATACAAATGTTAGAAGTCATGTTTTATTTTTCTCTTTGATGTAACAGATCTCTTTAAGAAGTTAATTTCCATAATATTTAATTGTTCAGTAGCAAATGCCTTCAGCCATTCTCTTCCATTAGCCAATTTTTAGAGTTTAATTTTAATTAATTCATTATATAATTAAGTAGGTGATAATAGATAAGTCATCCCTTCAGTAGGTTACCAGACATTCTTATTCAAATCATGGATTTTATATACAGTAAGTCAGTCTTCACTTAATGCTGTTGCAGCTTTAAGTGAAATGACAAATAAAAGGTCCTCAAGTAACATCCTTTTTAAGTTCAATGTCCTTTCACTATAAGATACATGACAGTGTTTTCTGGTATTTTACTTCAAGTTGCAGTTTCCAAAAACTTGCCCCACAGTGCTAAGTAAGGACTTAAAGTATATGGTTTAAAAATGTTAGGGTGTTTCTCTCATGTTCCAAAGGAAGGATGATTTGCCAAATTCATCTTTAAAGAACTAAACTAGTGAATGCTTCCCAAAGTATTTTTCAGGAAACCGATTTTCAGTTTCAGGTAAGAAGTCCACAATGTGTTTAAGTAGAAAGATGATGATAGTTTTTTTTTTTTTTTTTTTGGTCAATAAAGTGGGTAATGCTTATACAGACAGAGATGTATATGTTTTTTATTACAAGTAAGCCCATATGTTACTAATCAATATTCCAACTTAAGTAGTATTTGAAGTATTTTGGGGCAATAAACCCTTCATAATTTTGAATACATTAAAATTTTACAGATGGATCTATGAAATCTATAAGGAAGATAGCTTTTTAAACATGGTATATTTAGAATATTTACCAAAATATTTTTGGATATTTCAATGTTGAGAACACTTCTATTATAAACCATATACTTTAAAAAGTAAGACACACATTTATTTGAAGTGTCAAGGCTAGCACATTTCTGTCAGGTAGCAAATTCACAGTAAATATATTTTGAATATAAGAATACATAAAGCTTCAAAAGATATTTAGCATTTTTGCCAATACTTAATGTTTGCCTATACTAATTTAAATTAGATTTAATATTGTTATTGATTTTAATATGATCATATAAAGGGTCATAATCGTGTGTGTGTGTGTGTGTGTATGTATGTGTGTGTGTATATATATATATATATCATAATGAGGATATGACTAAAAAGAACAGAAAACTACAATATTCCTTAGTTTTTATGGGAATCTATATAATCTTCAAGAGATATGATCTACATACCTGACAGGTAATGTTCTGTCTCCTTTCCTCCTGTCCATTTCTCTTTGGGGAACAGGATACCAGCGGAAATTCAGTTTCCAGTTAAAGCCCCCATAAGTCATGTCTGACCCAGCCATATATTCAAAGGTATCATCACTAATCACATCAATGATAGGGCAGACAACCGTTTTCCTGCCAAGAAATTAAACCCAATTTATAGACACATGATAATTAAAGTGTTACATTATCTTCTTAAAACTGATTATAGCTGATATAGCTGGTAACTATTTTGTTACTTTAATATGCCTTTAGCTTCATTTTATCCTATTAGTCCATGGAATTCTTTCATTTGAATATATATTCCTTACAGTTTATGCTATCATTTGAAATATAATCAAATACACTAATTGACCTTCAAGTTTATTTCCAAATGCATTCTAAGTACTAACTTAGCAAGACAGGCATGGTCAATTTTTCATAAAACCTCCACCCACAGCATGATTAGTAGAGCTGCTCTGAGATTATGCTTCATTTTAGCTACAACACTTTGAAAGGCAATAGCATTCAGGGAGGGAAGAAGGAATGACAGCAAATTAGATCTGGTAGTTAACGTTTCAAGGAGGGTAGGTTAGTTTAGAGGAGTGTTCTGGGACCATCTTCATGGAGAAAACACCTACTAGGAAAAACAAACAAAAAACAAAGAGTAACAATAAAAATAATCTGTCAGTATATGTTTCCTATGAAAAATGATTGACATTCTTCCGAGTGAAATGATCTCAAATTAAGGGTTTACATTTATAATCCAAATGATATCTTCTAGATTATAATTTAGAAGTGAATTTTTCTGAGACATGACAATTTATGAGTGAAACGTCCTCACTACATTTATAATCTAGATGATGATATCTTAGGGAAAGCTAAGCAACTTCAATCTCTGGTGTTTTATCCCATTTTCTTTTTTTTTCTTTTCGAGATGGAGCCTTGCACTGTCTCCCAGGCTGGAGTTCAGTGGTGTGATCTCAGCTCAGTGCAACCTCTGCCTTCCAAGTTCAAGTGATTCTCCTGCCTCAGCCTCCTGAGTAGTTGGGAACACAGGCGCCCTTTGTATTTTTAGTAGAGATGGAGTTTCACCATGTTGGCAAGGTTGATCTTGAACTCCTGACCTCAGGTGATCTGCCAGCCTTGGCCTCCCAAAATGCTGGGGTTATAGGCATCAGCCACTGCTCCTAGCCTACCTCATTTTTCTTAAAGTAAGAGCCAAAAGGTTGTCATTTTAAATGGTAGCTTCCTAGGGTAGAAAATTGCATTTGGGAAAATCATTAGGTACTCTTTTAATCCACATTGTGCCTTGTCTAATTATTGACCTAACCCTTACTTACGTATTTTGTTATGGGACCCACCTTCTGTGATTTCTAATCTGTGATTTACTAATTACAAGTAAATGTTCAGGTCTACCCAAATTGTATTAGTTATAGCTAATTCTGAAGACCAGAATTAGTATTTCATATTTGACAGAAGATAAGTTTACAAATAGGCATCTGAATCATCCCTAGATATGCAAGGCACATAAAAATCCATTATTTATTCTTGTTTTGTAACGCCAGTTTCACCAATACTTATTTTCAATTGAGTCTTATATTCCACACAATTGGCCAGAGCCTCTATTTATCTGCAATCAATAAGATTCCTCTAGCCTTGGAAAAGCTTCTTGGTGACTCTGCAACTAACAAAATCAGTATTTTTCTCACTTCCTTTATTAGATTTAATGATTTAACTTGTGGGGAGAAGAAATTTTGTTTAAAAACCTTGAACAGACTTTATCTACTTAAGGCAACTTTAAAATGTATAAGCAGGACAATATAATAGGGTTCATCATATGCAAATACAGTGTAATTATGTCGTTAGATTAAAAAAAAAAAAGCCTATGCATGACCATATGGAAACATTCAAAACTCATTGAGTTGTATATGAAACGTGTGTGTTTAAAAAAAATATTCCAAAAGCTGCCAGGAAATGCATTTTTAAGCTCATTTTACTTTGCCAGTCTTATTGTTCTGTGAGTGCTGTACAATACACTGAGTGGAAAAATGTTATTAGCCATGTACAACACTCTATGGACTGAAAGTTCCTACTGCTTTCCTCAACTGCTATGGCTCATTTTACTGAGAGCTTCCATTCGTCTTCCTGGCAAGTACCAAATTGGCTGGATTAGCTGAGACTAAGTAGCTCCTATCTTGAATGTCTAATTAAATATGTAAATTCTAGAAGGACTTTTCTACTATAGGCAAAATGACTATGCAAGTAAAGTGTTATGTAATGTTGTAATTTTATTTCTGTGCTCTGTGTGTGTGCGCATGTGTGTGCATTTTTAAAGCATTCCAGGTGAATTTGCACTATACTGACTCGGAGTCCTGGTGTAGTATACAGAACACTGGCGGAGGATTGGAAAGAGCTAAATTCCTGTTCCCAGCACTTCCAATGACTGGGGCAAATTGGTTGTTACTTTCTTTGTTCCTAGATAAGAATATCTACAGTACCTACCTCAGAGGGCGTTACAAGAACACAAAAAGGTGCTTTGGAAATGTGCTTTATAACACAATGATACTATTTCAGATTACATTTATTGCTTTCAACTAAAAATTAATTTAACACATTTTTATTATTTGAATTGATTCACTATTTCTTAATCAAATGCCTATGTCCAGGATGAATACACCAGTCTTATTTATCAAATAAGTGGGAAAACTTACTTTTAAGAAAAGCTATAGGATGATGATCCAAGATGGCCAAATAGGAACAGCTTTGGAGTGCATTTCCCAGTGAGAATGCAGAGGGTAAATGACCACCACATTTCCAAACGAATTTTTACTGCCCACAGACTAGGAGATTCCCAGACAGAAGAGCACCATGAGTCTCCAGCACGGCTGTTTAGGCCAGCGCAGTGGGTCTCCACACAAAAACTCACACAATTCTGGATGCAATTTCAACTGGCACCTGGAACACCTGGGAGACAGTGTCGCCCATTCAGCTGAAAAAAAGGGGGCTGAAACAGGGAGCTAGGTGATCTGGTTCAGCAGTTCCTACCCCAACAAAGACCAGCAATCTGAAATGCTCTGGATTGAGAGTTTCACGGCAAGCATGGCTGGACCCAGGATGGTCCAGCTCTATGGGAGGAAGGGCATCCACCATTACCCAGGCAGTTCTAACTATACCTCTATAAACAAAACCTCAAGGAAGTTCAAACAGCAGCTGGGCAGAGCCCTCTGCAGCTCAGCAATGCCTCTGCTGGCAGACTGTGACTAGACTACTTCCTCGCTGGGAAAGGCATCTCTGAAAAAAGACAACAGCACGTCAGGAACTTATAAATAAAGCCCATATTCCCAGGACAGAGCACCTGGGAAAAAAAGGTGATTACGAGTTCCACTGCAGCAGACTTAAATGTACCAGCCCAGGATCTGTGAATGGAACAATGGATCTCACAGCTCAGCACTTGAATTCCTGTAAGGGACAGACTATATTCTCAAGCAGTTCCCCAACCTTCATATAACCAAAGAGACACATCATAAAGGAGAGCTCAGGCTGACATCTGGCATGTATCTTACTGGGACAAAGATAATAGAAGAAACTGGCAGCAAACCTTACAGTTCAGCTGCTGCCTGTGATCCCCTGGCAAGCAGGGTCTGGAGTGGACCTCCAGCAGTCCTACAGCAGAGTGGCCTGTTAAAAGGAAAACTAAAAAACAGAAATAACTTCATCATCAACAAAAGGATGTCCACTCAGACCCCATCCAAAAGTCACCAACTACAAAGACCACAGGTAGCTAAATCCACAAAGATGGGAAGAAACCAGTGCAAAAAGGACGAACACACCCAAAACTAGATCCTCCTCCAAGGGATCACAACTCCTCACCAGCAAGGCAACAAGGGTGGATGGAGAATAAGTCTGATGAATTGACAGAAAAAGGCTTCAGAAAGTGGGTAATAACAAACTTCTTTGAGCTAAAAGAACATGTTCTAACCCAATGCAAAGAAACTAAGAACCTTAAAAAAGTTTGATGAAATGCCAATGAGAATAAACAGCTTAGACAAGAATATAAATGAATGATGGAGCTGCAAAACACAACACTAGAACTTTGCAAAGCATAAACAAGTTTCAACAGCTGAATCGACCAAGCAGAAGAAAGGATATCAGAGCTTGAAGATCAATTCAGTGAAATAAAATGAGAAGGCAAGAACAGAGAAAAAAAAAAGTAAAATGAAATGAACAAGGCCTCCAAGAAATATGGGATTATGTGAAAAGACCTATACTACATTTGATAGCTGTATCTGAATGTGACAGAAAATGAATCCAAGCTGGAAAACACTCTTCAGGATACTATCCAGGAGAACTTCCCCAATCTAGCAAGTCAGGCCACTATTCAACTCCAGGAAACACAGAGAACACCACAAAGATATTCCTCAAGAAGAGCAACCCCAAGGCACATAATTGTCAGATTCACCAGGGTTGAAATGAAGGAAAAAGTGCTAAGGGCAACCAAAGAGAAAGGTCAGGCCAGAAGAGAGTGGGGGCCAATATTCAACAGCCTTAAAGAAAATAATTTTCAACCTAGAATTTCATATCCAGCCAAAATTACCTTCATAAGTGAAGGAGAAATAAAATCCTTTATGAACAAGCAATTGCTCAGAGATTTAATCACCACCAGGCCTGCCTTACAAGAGCTCCTGAAAGAAGCACTAAACATGGAAAGGAACAACCAGTACCAGCCACTCCAAAAACATACCAAATGGTAAAGACCATTGATACAATGAAGAAACTACATCAACTAATGGTCAAAACAACCAGCTAGCATCAAAATGGCAGGATCAAATTCACACATAACAATATTAACCTTAAATGTAAATGGGCTAAATGCTCCAATCAAAAGACACAGGCTGGCAAATTGGAAAAGAGGTAAAAACTCATTGGTGTGCTATATCCAGGAAACCCATCTCACATGCAAGGATACACATAGGTTTAAAATAAAGGGATGGAGGAAGATTTACCAAGCAAATGAAAAAACAAAGCATGAGTTGCAGTGCAAGTCTCTGATAAAATATAATTTAAACCAACAAAGATCAAAAGAGACAAGAGCATTATATAATGATAAAAGGCTAAACGCAACAAGAAGAGCTAACGATCCTAAATATATAAAT